ATATTTTTATGTTAAGAGGGAGCAAAACTCGTATTTGTTGTCTCAGTCTTACAAACACGTAAAATAGCAAATTTATGCTCAAAGTTCACTTTTTACTTCGTAAACTTAAAAATTATAATTAATAGACCTATTATGAAGCTTGATGGTCAGAACATCATCTGTGTTTTGTTGGAAGTATTTTTACGATAATTCCGTTTTGAGCAAGTTATGTGCATATAATAAATTGTAAAATAAAAATGATTATAAATCGCTTTAAAACTGAATTATCGTAAAAATACTTCCAACAAAACACAGATAATGCTCTTACCATCAAGTTTCATAAAAGGTCTATTCACTCCAATTTTTAAGCTAACAAAGTAAAACGTGAACTGCTGAGCGTAAACTTTCTRTGTTACGCGTTTGTAAGACTGAGGAAACAAATACGGGTGTTGCGCCCTCTTAAGCTTATATTTAGATCGAAATCGATCAGAATACAGGAGACCTATATGAGCATACAAAATAATTCTAATTATAGGTAGGTCAAAATTGGAAATGGTGGAGCCACAGAATAGGATTTTACACGGAAAGAATCGATACTGCTATTAGCTAGGAAAGACCTAGGTAACCACAGTGGCAGAGTATTAGAGTTTTAAATATATCATTACTTTAATCCAGCGGYCCTCCAGTAACTCATGGTGATAGCTGTCCACGGTGAATGTCGACTGGCGAGTGACTAGCAAATAGCAAAATGAAATAATATCCGGATCTAGGAAGATGACAGAGATGATTGGTGAGTGAATTTAGGATGCACCGAATCGAACTAAAACTTTTTATCCAATATAATGCTATGACATATGGGACGTAAGTAGTAGTTAAAAGATAAAACATATGTATATTGTATAAGTCATAAGGTGATATCGCTGGTGAGATCACCTTCGTGCAGTGTAGCCATATAACGACACACGTAAGACTYCTTGGACACTACAGTGGTCCATTCTCTTCCTATTTTCTTTCATTTTTGGGAAGCACTGTTGATAAAAAACTAAACAAAAACGATTTCCATTATGGCGGTAGTCGGCCTAGTCGGGTTGATCAGGTAAATGGAATGCGATATTTTGTAATCACGTGATTTGTTCGAATTGACTATACTGAGCCGTAGCAGCCTCGAGTCTCGACCCTCGACTCTCGAGTCTCATCGCTATCGTAGGACGTAGAACCTCGTACACACGTACCGCGCGCGCATACTTTTACTTTACCGATYCTGAATAGTGAATACCACTTTAGTTTGCTACGTGTGCGCGTCGTATTAACGTTCCCGGTCAGTTGGAACTCGGGAACGACTCCACCGCCGTTGCTCAAAGCTGCAGTACCATCGTCACTGCCGCAATGAACCTCGATAAGCTCACCAACCTACTGAATGCCACGCTCTACCAGCCACATAGGAGCGAGGCAGAGGAACAGCTTCAGCGTGTAAGCATGCTTTTTTGGCTGCATCCGGCCCGTGCACCCATAATAATAATAATAGTATACCCACATGCGTCATGCACACGGTTGAAGGTTATGTGATTCGCACGTATTATTATGAGTATGGTTGGCTGACGAATTTTTTTTTTTTTACAATTAAAATTTTTTGTTCGGTTTTCCAATGTATACGTTCGCGTCCGGGTCAGAACTTTCATCGGCCGGCAAAACCACCCGCCAAATCAGAAAACCGGGAACACAGTCGGCCACGTTTTTCGCATTCGACTGACGTCGCGCCTTTGGCTTAAGCCCCGGTCATTCATTTCGTCAGTCTTCTGCAAATGCATCGGTGCTAATCGTTAATTTTAATTACTTTTGACACTATGTTCAATTACATCATTTCTATTAATGTTACACGGGCATTTGATTATCACGAGCAATTTGCTATGCGGTAGATTGTTAAATTGGCGCAAAGAAAATAAAAATAAATTTGCCAAATGCATTTAAAATGTACCATCAGCCAACAGTGTTTGTTCACTGTAAATTATAAACTACCCAATAATTTATATATTGTGGACTCTGGATGACCGATTGCATACTTTGAATTACACTAAATGATTTGTTTTAAATACCCCTGTAATCAATATATATTTTAAATGTGTTCATAAATAAATAGTTTAGGTTTAATAGTGTTGCATTAATTTATTGTTGTTTGGAATCATTTATCCCTTAACTTAATATAAAATTTTAAATGTACGTAATGTTCATAGTTTTTCTATTCTACCATTGAATCTACCTGTTGATATCAAATTTATAACAATATTATTGTAGTATAATCTTATTAGTTCTTTAACTTTTGACTTAATTACACTAAAATGCTGCTTCTATAATTTCAAACTGCACATTGAACAAAGAATACCTTAGACATAGACTTTATGTACCTMTCTAACTCAATTTTACTTATTTTTAGATACACAAAATTGCTGGATTTGGTCCAGCTCTACTACAAATTGTTGTTTCTTCTGATACTGAAATGTCTACAAGACAAGCGAGTAAGAAATCTGAAATATGTAAATTACGACTGATAGTATTAAAATCGGTGTTAGATATTGTATCATAAACTGAAATACTCATTAATAGTTCTAACTCATAATATTACTTGAAGATTTTGATGAATTGGATGTGGTTCAATATCTTAATTCTTCACTAATAATGTTCACCTCTTTTTATATTTATTATCCTTATCACCATTTTACCAATTAAAAGCAAAAAAATAAAAATAATATTAATATTATATAGTGCTTAAATATTTTAGTATGATACAATATTTAGAAAAAACTATCAACCTATATATTTAAAAATCAAATATACTATCTAAAATTAAAAAATTGCAGGTGCTATTTATCTGAAAAATTTAGTCTACCAAAGTTGGGCAACTCGTGAAGATGAACCAAATAAATTTACAGTTCATGAACAAGATCGAATTGTAATAAGAGATACCATTTTAGATGTTATTGTTCAAGTGCCAGAACTATTAAGGTAAATAATGATACTTCCTATGCCATCCAAATTTACATATTATATCTAAAAAGAAATTATATCAATTTTAGAGCACAGCTAACTGTTTGTTTGGTAACAATGTTGAAACACGATTTTCCTGGACGTTGGACCAATGTTATTGAAAAAATTGATGCATATTTAAAAAGTGATAATTCATCTTATTGGATGGCTGGTATAATAGGGTTTTCAGCTCTAATAAAAGCCTTTGAATATCATAAGGCAGATAAATCACCTATACACGCTGCAGTCAAAGTATTGCTACCAGGTGTATATAATGTCATGGTTCTTATAGTTAATAATTCCACTGCGGAATCTGTTGCATTGCAGAAAACTGTAATAAAAAGTTATTTCAAACTTGTCCAAGTAAGAATAAACTCAATAATAACCTAATCAAATTCAATTTTTTTTTCATCATGTTGGATATTTGACTTTATTAATTTATAGTTTTCAATAAGTCCTGATTTAATGGAAAGAAATACCTTTACCAAATGGATGGAATTGTTAAGCATAATTGCTTGTAATCCAGTACCAGAAGAAGTGAGTCGTTTAGAGCATAGTGAAATAGACCAATTACCTTGGTGGAAGATTAAAAAATGGGCATTACATACTATGTATAGAATTTTTGAGAGGTAAATATAAATTATAGCTACACTAATTATCATATTGTCTAATACTAACCTAATTGATTTAAGGTATGGAAGTCCTGGAAGTGTGGCCCAAGAATATCAGCAATTTGCCGTATTTTATGTTAAGACTTTCTCTACTGGTGTTATAGAAATAATTTTAAGAATTTTAGATCAATATCGAAACAAAGTGTATATCCCTCCTAGAGTAATGCAAATGTGTATGCATTATTTGAACCAATGGTAATTACTTGTATAATAGCTCAATTATTTTGAAATGTACGTAATACATTATAAAAAATGTATTCAATTTTATTTTATTTTCTCACTTCAGTGTTAGTATTGGACATACCTGGAAAATGATTAAACCACATATTGCTGCAATTATTCAAGATGTAATATTTCCTCTCATGTGTCATTCAGAATGTGATCAAGAGTTGTGGGAATCTGATCCACAAGAATACATTTCTCAGAAATTTGGTACAATTAAAAATTTTTTAAATTAATTTATTTTAATTGGCGATTATTAATCTAAATCATTTTTTTAATAGACATTTTTGAGGATTTAATATCTCCTGTAATGGCTGCTCAAACAGTGTTACATTCAGCATGTAAAAAACGTAAAGACATATTACCCAAGGCTGTTCAATTCATTGTTGGTGTCATTACTTCAAATGATGCTACTCCATCTCAAAAAGATGGAGCTCTTCATATGGTAAATGAATTTCATCATATTAGAAATTTAAAATTTGTTTAACTGATTTTATTAATTGTTGTTTTTTTTTTATAGCTTGGTGCATTAGCTGATGTCATATTTAAAAAAGATATGTATAAAGATCAAGTTGGTAGTATGCTATACCAACACGTGTTTCCGGTTTTTCAAAGTCCACATGGACACTTAAGAGCTAGAGTATGTTTRATAATTGTTTAGCTATATGTACATATTAAATAATTTTTTTGATTTTTGTATTGTTTAGGCTTCTTGGTTTATCCAACACATCTGTGAAATAAAAATTAATAATGATAATGTTTGGAAGGATTTAGCAACACTTTGCTCTAATGCTTTATTAACTGATAAAGAACTTCCTGTTAAAGTTCAAGCTGGACTTGCAATCCAAGCATTATTAATTGCTGAAAACAAAGTTGAACAACTTTTAGAGCCTAGGGTATGTAAATTTAAAATTTGAAAAATAATATTTTTATATTATGTAGTAATTTGATGTGACTGTTGTCTGTTTTCTTCATAGATTAAGGAAATAACACTTGAACTTTTAAAAGTACTGCAGCTAACTGAAAATGATGATATTACTAGTGTTGTGCAGAAAGTTATTGCAACTTATTTTGATAAACTTGCTCCAATTATGTACGACATCTGTCAGAATTTGGTTTGTATTTTAATTGTTATTAGTATTATTATATTACCACATTAATTTATATCAAATATCAAGTTGATCGTTTTATTATAAATTACTAATTATTTATCAACTTTAATCGGTTTATCAACTCTCTAAAGTGCAAAAGATTAGAAAAAAACAAGAGTTAGTAAGTTGTTAAATTATTAAATACACATACTTATCGATTTAATGATACTTCATAGGCAATATCCTAGTTTTTGACAATGAGTCACTATAAATTCTATATAACTTAGTAATTTAAATAAACTTYGTTAAATTGATATTCAATTACAGTTTTAATAAATAGGTTTKTCGCACTCAAATTRTATTTTATTTTTTTATCTTTTATATTAATGTTTGAAAAATAATGGTAAAGTAGCAATATTTAATATTTTTAATATAGGCAAAAACCTTCCTTCAAGTTCTTCGGTCTGATGATATGAATGATAAGAAAGAAATTACTGGTATGAGTATTTTAAGTTGTATAGAAACCATATTGAGTGTTAATGATGAGCAGCCGCAAACTTTAGCAGCCCTTGAACCAATTGTTTTGGAAGTCATWGTACATATTTTTAATACACCTGAATCTGGTATTGGTAAATAAATGAATGACAATAAATAACATAGATTATAATTTTATTAATCAACTGATTTTTTATAGAATACTACGAAGAAGCTTTAAATTTAGTATGCGACTTAACCAACTCAGAAGTGTCTGAAAACATGTGGAAAGTTTTGGAACTCATTTATACTGTAAGTTATTTAAATATGTAATTCTATGTGTATTATAAGTTATGGATGTTAAGTATATATTATAACA